ACAGATGCAGATTTTTTTTTAAAGCCTCACTCAGAATTTAAACACAGAACCCCAAACATCTCTTTTCACCTGGAAGGTAAGTTGAAAAATAATCTGATGAAATTGAAACCTGGCTTTTATCTGGTCATCAAGACACTCCCTCTCCGGGAGCTCCTGTTTGGCCTGAAGAGTCAGCTGCACCGGTCAGCAGGGGCTGTGGGTTAGATGTGCTCACCACAGTCTCTGTCGGGGGCGAGGGGGAGCTCCTTCCCAGGGCTCCACTGGCTGGACCGTGGCCTTGGGATTCCAAGCTCAGCAAGTCAGGGCCCACAGCCTCAGAGGAAGGCGTCAGCACAAAACACCTGCCCTGGGAGGCAGCGGCCGACTCGCTGGCCCGCAGAGAGGGACCCTGGTTGTGGACCTTCTTCAAGGCTTCTGGGGATGCAGGTCTAGACAGTCAGAGCTCAGTGAGTACTCCAGGGCTGGCCACTGAGGAGGGCGAGAATTCCTCCCTGGTGGCCAGGCCAGAGCAGGATCTGGGAAAATCCTTCAGGAAGTGGGTGTAGGATGGTGCATCAACAGGCTGACAAGTCCTGCAGGACGGAGAAGGGAGGCCTTCTCCCCCAGTGCCCTGATTAGATAAACTCCGGGTGCTAGTGGTGATGAAAGCTGGGGTGGAGAGAACCAAGATGTTTCATAATTTGGACGCAGCTATCATTTTTACAAGCTTGGGGAAGCATGAGAGAGTTTGCACATTGCTTTTTCCTCTACCTGGTGATCGGGGTGATAAGGTATGTCCTTATTTTATAACAACCAAACACAAAGGTAGTGTTGTCGTAAAATCAGACTCAAAGGTGAAAAGCAGAATAAATCAGAAGGAAATAGAATATCTCTCCGAGACGCGGATAAGAAACAAAATAGAAATCTGAGACACAGAAAAAGGTCACTGGGAAATGGTTGATTTCTGTTTTTCTTTGAAGGAAAGCTGATCAGAACTGTGTGGAAAAGTCCAGAACACAGCTAGCAACCGGGAAGCAGGGCATTCCCCGAACTGCCCAGGAATGGCTTTCTTTGCACCCGTCCCTGGGGAGCAGAGAAGACACAGCGGGTCGTAGGCATTCTTGGGAATTACGTGATTTTAAAGGAAGACTGTGGCGTGGGAGTTGTTTCGTTGGGAGATTGGAGGGAGGGGAAGTGATGTGTCCAGACCTTGGCCGTGGATGGTGGGCCGGGACTCACTGAGCTCACTGATTTCCTACCAGCAGCGTGTTCGGGCTTCAAGGGCCGTTTTTTCCCTGGTGTTTTTTGTCCTGGGTCAGTGTTAGCATGCCAGCCTGACGATTAGGGTAGTAAAGTGTATGGTTCAGTGTCCCCCAACATCTAAGTCGTTCAGGCTGTAAGTGCCTAGAGGAGAATCACCCAACTGCTCTGATCTCGTGGCACACCAGGTCCACGAAACAAAAGCAAGGTCTGAGAGATCATTCATTTCTTCTGAGTGGTTTATTCAAAGTTCCAAACAAGCCAGCGAAGGATTTTATTATAGCGATGTTCCATTGTCCTAGCCCTTTTGGAGGTGAGGGCAGGGGAGCCAGACCAGTTCGTGGCTTCCCAGCCGTCTGGTTGCCCACAACACCGGGTGACCAGTCGGCTCTGTGTTGCGCCTGGAGCTGTAACTCCAGCTGTGTGGTTGCTACAGGGGAAATCCCTGTACGACCAATTATTATTTCTAATAGTCATAATCAGTAGCAGCTTTAAAAATAATTCAGTCTCATTAACTGCACGCTCATAGCTACATCCATCGTGCAAGCGCGAGGTGGGACACGCTGTCATGATCTGTATTTTAACAACGGGAAATGAGACAGAGTCTCACATTTCTAAAACTCAGCTCTTCGGTAGGAAACTCCAGATTAACACTTGTTTGGGTTTTTTTTTTTTTTTTTTTTTTTGTCTTTCTTTCTTGTCTAGATTTTGTGCTTTGGATTTTGTAAAACATGACCTTAGTTGAAACTTTCCTTGTACCATTTTACTCTTTGTTTTCAGGATTCTTTTGACTATAAACATGGTGTATTCTTTACAACATCCCACACAGCTCCTGGAATACAGCAAGCACTCACTAGAAACTTTCAAAATTAACAGCAGGAGAACTGTCTTTCCACCATGGACCTTATCTGAGGAGGAACAATGAAGCATTTTATGTAATTAGCTTCCTTTTATCTCCATTTAAGCGTTTCTGGTCTACATGGTAAATGCTTGCAGGAGATTTCTATCCAATTTATGCTGTCTTTACTGCCTTGTTAACTTGAAATGTGCAGAAACATGGTCATTTTTTAAAGGGTATAATTGGCAAATAGAAAGTGTATATAACAGATGTTCTGACATGTGCATACATACCTGTGGTAGTGAAAAATGATGCAATATTTTTGATCTATTTATTTTTTATTTCAGAGGCAAAGTTACAGACAGAGAAGGAGCCCCAAAGGGTTGCAGTGGCCTGAGCTAAGCCCGGTCTTCCACGTGGGTGCAGCAGCCCAAGGACTGAGCCATCCATCACTGCTTTTCCAGGCATAGGAGCTAGGTTAGACGTATGGCAGTCAGGAGTTGAACGGCGCCCACATGCGATGCTATAGTGGAGGATTAGCCTGATACGTCACCATAGCAGCCACTGATGTAGTATTTTTAACACAAAAAAAGTTAGCTTCCATGTTCAGAATTCCATTGGCTTTCTTGAATGGTTTTTATGTATCACCTTGACCAGGCCCTGTAGCTGGTGAAACAGTGTTTGCGGGAGAGGAACAGAGAGCGGAAACAGCAGGAGGCCTCATCCCAGGACCCGGAGGCCAGGAGGGCAGCAGTGGGTCCTCCTCTGGGGCTGCTTTCTCTCTGCTTCCATTGGGGTTCCCAGGGATGCAAGGTCCATGGCTTTCGGATTCCAGGCTCTCACTCTGGGCCCTGCCCTGAAGGTGGTTCCTGAGTCCTCAGCCTGCTGGATTCTGGACCAGCCCCTCCTGTTAAACCTCTGTCTCTGTCTCTCTCTGTCTCTCTCTTTCTCTCGGGGGGGCGGGAGGGGGTGCTTTAGAATGTTTTCCAATTAGACTGTATCTGTTTATGGAGAATGCGTGTTAAGAAAATGCATATTTGTGCATGGATTTCAAGAATGTGCCAACACAAATGCATCTTTTAATTTTCCCTCCTCCACTCACTTTGTGAAATCTCTGTACACATCCTCCTGGCTCAGTTTCTCTTCGGTTAGCATGCACCAAGGTTCAGAACCTGAGCTCTTCATATAACCTCAAGCACGTGGAGCTGGTGTGGCCACACTGCTCATTTTCACACTTACAAGGCTTAGAAAGGTGGCATGCCTCCCTGGAGAACTGCTGAAAAAATCCAAGCTATTAGTTGCTACACTGTATTTTTTTGCTTTTATGTCATTGACACAACCAAGTTTCCCCAACTGGTTAAAATCCTTCTCATTCCAGATAACAAATGTCTCTTAGTCAGGCCCTTCAGCCAGCCAAAGTCTCTTGCAGACTTCATTTGTTCTAGTTCTGAGAGTCCCTCTTCCTGCGGCTTACTTGAGGGTGCACTTTTTCCAACACTGTTTTCCCACCAGTGTGTGCACAGCAGCCTGCCCTTATCCTCTGTGCGCCCCCAAAGCGAGGGAAGGAAATCCTACGGATCCTAAGGTGGTTAGGTTGAAATGCTCTCCCAGGCAGCATCTGCACAAGTTTGCTCCCTAATTGATTGCAGGTCCCCCTGGGAACCAGTCTCCTGGGAGGAAGGAGGTGCTGGCTTTGGACATTTCCTTCTCCGACCCTCTCTTCAGTGTGGGTCCAGAAACCAGCACTTTGGCTCCAGTGAGCTAACCTAATGATGTTGGGCAGTGAGGGGAAGCGCCCCTAACCGCGCCCCTTCTATTTCAGAAACAACCGAGGTGCCCAGAGTCCTCGTTGGAAGTGTCTAGTCGGGCTGTCTTTCCGTACTCAGGTACACACCTGTGGAAAGGTGGGTCTAAGCCGGAGATGAAGATGCCTCTTTGAAGGGGTCGGTCCTGTGCAGCTCTAGGTCAAATCATGAAACTTTTCCCCGTGGCTTCTCCATCTCTCGGCAAGGCTGATCGCATCAGGACCCTATCTCGCGCGCTAGGGGCGAAAGTGAGGCGAGGTGGCACCCTGGGTACCAGCTCGCGCCCGCCTGCCACATCCCCGCCTCCGTCCCCTGGCCTCCCTGGGCCTGGGGAGCCGAGGTGGACACGCGCACCCTCCGGGCGTCCCGCAGGTGTCCCTGTCCTGGCCGCGGGGACGCGCCGAGCGCCGCTCCTGGCCGGGCCTGGACTCGGAGCCTCCGCCTTTGTTCCGGGCTGGGCGGGGCCGGCGGGGCTGGTCCCTGGGGCGCGGCCCAGGTGACACCTGTTCTCGGGGCGCCGCTCGCCCACGGGGCACCCGGACCCCGCAGCCGCTGTCCAGCGGGGGCTTTCAGGCGGCTGGCCCGAGGACAAAGAGCTTCTCGGCGAGGCCACTTCCTCGCTCGGCCGCCCCTTTCTCCCAGCCCCCAGCTTTGTCCCCAACTTGGTCCCAGGGCTGGTCCCCCACCGCGCTCCTCCGTGGCGCCGCCGTCGCTCCCGGGGACGGGCCGGGGGCGCCGACCTGCCCGCCGCAGCCGCCGGGGCCGGACGCGGTGGGCGCACACTCCCGCAGCCCCGCCGCGCGCGGGGACGCGCCCCGGCCCCCCGCCCGGGTCCTCGGCACGGGGGGCGGGTGCCCGCGCCTTGCGCCCTCTGATTGGCTGCGGGTGTCGGGGTGCCGCGCCGCCATTGGGCCGCGGGGCCGTCTGGCGCGAGAGCGCGCGAGCTGGGGAGGGGGCGCTGGAAGCTGCTGGAAGTCGGGGGGCGGGGCGGCGCGGGCGCGCGGTGGGGGCGGGGCGGCCCGGGCGCCGCCCCCGGCCCCTCCCCGGTCCTCCCGGCACGGCGCTCCGACCGCGGGCGGCCGAGGGGCGGGCGCGCCGCGGCATCCCCATCCCGGTCGTCGCGTCGCCGGGCGCAGCGCGAGGCCCGGCCATGGCCACCACCAGCACCACGGGCTCCACCCTGCTGCAGCCGCTCAGCAACGCCATGCAGCTGCCCATCGACCAGGTACCGCTGGCCGCGCGCGCCCCCCGCCTGCCTGGGCGGCCGGGAGGGTGGGGGCGGGGGCCGGGCGTCGCCGAGCCCGCCGCGCCGCTCCCGGTGCCCGCCTGCAGCCCCGCGCCGGCCCCGGCCTGCCGCCGCTGGGTCGGGGCGCGTGGCCGGCGCGGCCCGCGGCGAGGAGGCGCGCCCCGACGTGCGGGCGGACGCGCCGGTCCCTGCCCCGGCGCCCGGGCGCTCGGGCACCGCAAGGGCCGTGGCGCGCCGCTGCCCGGCACCTGGACGGGGCGCGGAGGCGGTGCGGAGCCCGGCGGGCGAGATGCCCTGGAGACGGCGCGGGGCCGGGGGGAAGGTGGCCGAGGGGCCGGAGCCCGGGGGCGGAGGCAGAGGTTGTGGAAGTCGGAGTGACTTCTTGGTCCCGGGATTCCGGGCTGAGAAAGTTGCTGCGGCGTCGCCGGCGGGGGCAGCCCCCGCAGCCGCTGCCCGCTTGCAGTGGACAGCGGTGGACAGCGCCCGGGGCCGGTAGTGTCCGGCCGAGGCCTGGCCGCCTTCGGTTGCTCGGAGGGCTCGGGGATCAGGGAGAGAGGCCCCACCGCCTCGGGATGGGGCGAGCAGCGCCATTTTCGCTTGGCGGAGAAACTTTGGGAGTATGGTGCGGTGAGAGTGGCCTCGGGGGAAGTTGGTGGTGGGGTCCGGGCGGATCCCGGCTCCAGCCCTGGTTCTGCACGTTCTTCTGCATGTAATTGCGTCCTGGGTGCCCGGTCCGTGGGGGGCCGCCCTCCAAGAGCTGCCTGCTCTTGCTCTCAGTTTAGTTGGGAATGAGGTCTTGGGGTGCTGGGGCTTCTCCCACACCCTTCCTGACCTGGCTGTGCGCCTGCTCTGCGCGCTGTCCTTTCAGTTGGAGGGGTCCCGGTTGTGTCGGAGCCTTAGCCCCGTGTCCAGCACCCTGGTTTGGTCCCTGCCTGCGGGTTGCTCCCGGGGCTGGGGGGTTGGGGGACACAGCATAACACCGAGGACTCCCTCGCTACAATGTGTACCATGCGTGCGTTTGCAGACAGCGTTTCCTCTGTTGGCTGTTGCTCGAGTGTCCAGCCCTGGGGATGCTTCTCGCCAGTCCCACGCGAGTGGCATCCCCGGGCAGCAGGTGGGCCCTGCCTGGCGGTACCTCTCAAGGGCAGGTGCAGGGTCCATTCCCGCCTCCTCTCTCCGGTGCTGTCTTTCCTGCCCCTCCCTCCCCCCTGTGCTGAAATGTTCTCATTCTTGAGCAGAGACCTTGTAATTTTTGTGAGGCTTAACAACTTTGGGAAGAAATTTGATAGAAATGAACGGTTGTGAATGCCTCCACAATGCAGAGGTAGGTTGCTTTCAGAACTGAAATAGAATCAAGGGGAGTTGACAAGAAAGTTCCTTTCCTCTTTTTTTTTTCTTTTTAATTTATTGGACACGGGTCTTGATTTGGTGCCTGGCACAGCCTCTCTTTCTCTTGGGACTGCTCTTGGTGTGCGTGGTGGGCTCTGTAGAGGCCACTGTAGTTCCCACTTGTCTTTTGTCCTAAGAATGTTGGTTCCCATCACAGGAGCCTTAACATTGCCCAGTGAGTATAGGTTTCTCCTTCGAGGTACCAGGCCATGGCTTAAAAAATTTTTTTTTTTTTAAATTTTATAGCTAAAGTGCATTGTTGACTTAAATGAGGAAAAAAATCTTGTTAACCATTATTTCTAAATTGAACAGAATGGTTATTATTATTTTTAACATGTAGATAATCCAGGCCAAGTTGAGAGAGAGTGTTAAGAATTGGTTGTAATCAAATAGTGTGATTCAACAGGAAGCGCACAAATCAGGAGGATAAAAATATAACTTGTTAGTCTGTTAATTTGGCATGTGCTAATTAACCGTGTGCTGAAGGCTGAGGACACTAGGAAAGCAGTCCTTTGCTGGGGACTTTTAGGGTCACGGAGGAGCTTTCTGACTGCAGGCAGGTCCTGCCTCCCGAGAATTCCTGGCTGGCGTGGCGTCCCGGAGTGCTGGGCATTGGGCCCGCCAGCAGGGGAAGAACCAATGGCATCCCGGAGTGCTGGGCATTGGGCCCTCCAGCAGGGGAAGAACCAGGTCTTTGCCGGGAGACAAGGCCACGGGAAGAGGAGCAGCAGAGATCTTGCCGTATTCCTGGCTTGTTGCATCTTGACAGAGAACGCCTCTGTGACCTGGAGGTGGCCTGAGTGTTTATTCAGCAGTGAAGATGTAAACTCTCAGGTTACGGGAGGCTCGGATAGGCTGTCTCCTGCGTCTGGGGTTTCCCGCTGCAGGCCCTGCCTCCTGGGTGCCTTCCAGGGGGATGCTCAGGAGGTGCTGGGGACCACAAGGATGGGCTGGGGGTGAGTGCACGTTGGAGCGGAGACCAGATGTGCTGTGTGGAAGACAGTAGACGGCGGTTGGTGCTGATCTCATGGAGTGTTAAGACTCGTGGAGAGTTGCGAAGTGAAATGAGAGAATGAATGCAGTGTCCCAGATCCACTTATTTTTTGCCGATCTCAGCAGACTGTATTTTCGGGTGCATCGCACTCCCCTAAGCCCGAGTCACAGGTGAGGCTGCTGTGGCGTCTTCCTCCTGCTGCGCTCAGGTGAGGAGCGTGTTCCCCCGGGACTTTGTGTCTGTGGTGGCACGCCTGGCAGAAGGCCAGCCGGACAGGAGTTGCTCAGTGGCCTTGGCCCTGGGCAGAGATCCTTGTGGAGCTGTTGGGACTGGGCTGACCACTGGGGAGGACCATGGAGGCTCCTGGGTTTGGGATGGTGAGAAGCAGGCTGTGTGTGTGTTGGGTAGCATTGCTGATTCACTCTCTGTGACCCCCCTCCCTCACTGGCAGCATCAAACACTGCTTTCCTCCGTCCTCCTACAGGTCTGAGCTGTGAGTCCCACTTTGTAGATGAAGGCATAAGTGACATTCTCGGCGCTTAGCCTTCTAAAGACAGTGACTTGGAGGAGGTGGCAAGACGAAGGGGCGGGGTGTGGCGGGTGGCCCTGTGTGGCCGCAGGCTCAGGACAGGGCTGCGTCACTCCTGGGCTCTCTGGTCTACTTCCACTCTGGACGCGAGTGAGCATCAACTCTGCCGGGAGGGGAGGCTCCTGCAATGCAGGCGCAGTTTGCTGTGTGCCTGTCTCGGCATCACGGTGGCCCCCCAGGGCCTGGACCCCCGAGCCTGTGTCTTATAGCCTGTGTCACCCATGTTCATGTCTTCCCTCCCGCATGAAGGCTTAACAGTCTGGGAGGCTGTGTGAATGTGTGTGATCTAGTCAGGAAGTGGCGAAGTTGGAGGGAACATGGCGTGGACATGTGGGGGAGGGAGGCAGACTGACACCTCCTGCGGGTGTTTGCAGGAGGAGAGTGCCGACGCTGCCTCTCTGCCTGATTTGGCGCAGGTGCCACCTGGTGTAGAGTTGGCAGCCTCCCTGGGCTTTCCCTGTGCCTGGCTTCCTCTCAGCCACTGGGTGTTGTGGGCAGTGAAGCCGGGGGGATGGCACGCCCAGGCTGCTGGACTTGAGCTCTTTGCCAAAGAACGGTGTCTTTAATCCTTGTGCGCTCAGCTGTGGAATCAAAGTGGTGGTAACTGGCATCCATGGCATATTGCTAGGAAGTGTAAGACACATCTTCTGGCAGCATGCCGTGGCACTTGTGCAGCCAGCATCTCACAGAGTGCTGGTTTGAGTCCCAACTGCTCCGCTTCCGATCCGGATCCCTGCTAATGTGCTTGGAAAAACAGCAGCAGATGGCCCGGGTGCGTGGGTCCTGCTTGCCCACATGGGAGACCGGGAAGATGCTCCAGGCTCCTGGTTTTGGCCCGGCCCAGTGCTGGCTGTTGTGCCCATCTGGGGCAGTGGAAGAGTGGATGGGCGATCTCTCTCTGTCTCCCGCCCCCTGTTGCTCCGCCTGTCAAATAAATTAACACATCCTTTTTTTCTTAACATAATCTGGCTCTTCATAGCACTGTCCCTTTCTCTTTGCCAATGACAAACTATTTGGAATTTACTTTTTTATTCTGAGGAGTTAACATCTGTTCCTATAGATATTCCATTTTTAATTTTTAGGACTTCCTTTTTAGGATGGGAAATGCAGGGCCCAGGTTCTGTGCTCTGCCCACACGGTGATTAAACTGAGATGAAAATCTAGCATTGAATTTGGAGCTGGAAGTGGTTTTTCTGCCTCCTGCCTGTCTCCTCCTGCGTCTCAGGCCTCTCTGCCCGTGTGGTCCCTGCACCTGCCGTGAGTGGGTGGGACGATCCAGCAGGGCCATGGAAATCCTGACTTCCTGGCTGTGTGGGTTCTGTGGAAGGGGTCGAGAGGCCTGGTGGGTGGAGAGGTGGTGTCAGGGCTTGGGAGGTCAGAGCAGTGCCAGCGATGGTTCTGTAACCTGCCAGCCTGTGTCCAGTGCACCTGCAGACTGCCTTCTCAGAGCTCCTGCTGGGAGCCACTGGAGCCTGGCTTTGGCACTGTCTGGCATTCACTCTCTGCCCCAGTGCACCTGCAGGCTGCCTTCTCAGGGCTCCTGCTGGGAGCCACTGGAGCCTGGCTTTGGCACTGTCTGGCATTCACGCTCTGCCCCTGTTGCATTTGCCTCAGGGCTCAGGAAGGAGACAGACTGAACTAATTAACTAAGGAGACTGTTGGTGAAGATGTGGGCAGGTCTCAGGAGCCAACACACAGCAGTGGAGTTCCACGTGGACCTGCAGGGCCTGGAGGGGGCAGAGTCCTGACAGTAGCTGAGCAGCAAGGGGGTGCCATAGCCGCCTTGGAGGGGCTGGCCACTGTGCCGTGAGCCAGGCGCTCTGCCGCTCTCTGCTGCCGGGCTCTCCTGCAGAGAGCAAGCTGCTGTATGGGGGCCTGGAGTGGAGTGGGCCGTGGGTCTGGAGGGACACTTGACAGTGTGGTTACCACAGGGCACGATGGACACACACGCAGACTCATCCTACTGCTGAATGGACATTCTTGCCATCTTCTCAGCCTTCAACTTTT